CTGTCCAGTTGCATCTTCCACCTCTGCAGATGGCCTGTGTCTCATGTCCCAAGGGAAGGTGAAAATCACCTGTACTTGGCTGACAGTACAGTGCTTTATATAGGATCACTGTAAACCTGCCTGACCACCGTGGCAATTGGCTCATGCCCTGAAGCATGAGATTTGGTTACCTTTGTCTTAGCACGTGATTTCTAACGTTGTTGGTCTTAGAATTATCCAATCCCTTTTTAAGATCCAGCTATAGTTCTTCTTGGTGCTAGGAACTGAAAAATGGCCCTCACTCCAATGATAGCAACTGAGGAATGAACACCCACACCCTACTACCACCACCACCTCAATGAAGAAACTGAAAAGGCTGATTTGGAAATAACTCTCTATTGATCACTGAGGTGGGTGTGTTAGTGGGGCTTATAGGTCTTGGCTAATGGAACCTTGGAAGCAAGAAATCATAGGTGATGAACAGACAGCCCCTAAAGACAACAATCCTCAAATCAGTGCTCGATTACCCTCTCTCAGCCCTTGCTATAGGTAAGTCAGTGACTAGGAACTGTTCATGTTCATTCTCTCTCTTCTCCCCCCCACCCCACCCCTGCTTCTAAAGCCCTGCAATATGGTTGGCTGGAGAGCAGCTCCCTCCCTGTTCAAGGGACTGGACTCCTTCCTTTTTTGGGAGGATTGACCACCCAAAGGCTTTCTGTGTGTTACCTTTCATAGGCATTGTGGAAAGCGCTAGTCATAGCCTTGTTTCTCTCCTTCCCTAACCAATGACCAAGCATTTACCTATCTCAACCAGTAATGCGATGTGGGGGGAGATCCAATGGCCCGTGTTTCACAGAAAGCCAGAGCTGGTGACTAATGGTCCTTTCTGGCTGTAACCTCTGAACTGCAGAAACTAGGCAGGATGATGTAGTGGGATCTGGCTACTGAGTCGCAGCCCACTCATGAGACATTACTGTAACCGGATGTTACTGTGGGAACCAGAGCCCAGAATCCTGGATTAGCACGGGCTGGAGCAGTAAACTTGGGACTTTGGTTTTTGTAAATTGCGTCATGCTCTTTCCGCTAAGAGTGGTTCTGCTGCCAGATCGCAGAACTGGCCAGCTGCTCCAGATACTACTCTTTGTGATGGGGCTGATCGTCTCCTGTCAGTCAATAGGAGTCTCTCCAGGGACTCTGATGGGAGATGCATCAGGCCTGATCTGATCTTTGCCAGCCCTCCTTGCTCTCACATGTATATCAGGCTTTCTGGATGGGTGTGAATTGTGCATCAGCAAAGCCCATAGACCACTAGAAATAAAAGAATAGCCATGGTGGCAGGTACAGTAACTCCTCACTTAACGTTGTAGTTATGTTCCTGAAAAATGCAACTTTAAGTGAAATGATGGTAAACGAATCCAATTTTCCCATAAGATTTAATGTAAATGTGGGGGATTAGGTTCCACGGAAATTTTTTCTAGGCAGACAAAAGGCATTATGTACTGTGGTTGGGAGGTGCCCCGGCTTACCCCACACAGGCACAGCGTGCTGCAGGCAAAGACACTAGGAAGCACCTTGCGCAGCAGCAGCGGCAGCTTCCCCCCCAGAAGAACAGGTGCCAGCTTTACCAGGGGATGCTCCAGGCCCATCTCTTCTTGTCCCCGCTCCACTCCAGGCCCACTTCTTCCCACCCCCACTCCACCTCCTCTCCAGAGCACGCTGCGTCCCCGCTCCTCCCCCTCCCTCCCAGAAAGTCCTAAGTGCCACCAAACAGCTGTTTTGTGGCAGAGGAAGCACTGGGAAGGAGGGGGAGGAGGCAGTGCTCTTCCACAGAATTCTACAAGCAGTGGACAGAGCAGTCAGCCAAACAAGGTTATAAGGGAGCACTGCACAACTTTAAATGAGCATGTTCCCTAATGGAGCAGCGACGTAACTTTGAAACCATGTTAAGCGGGAGGACATTAAGTGAGGAGTTACTGTAAAGCCCAATTCCTGGGGGGAGGAGCCTTGTGGAAACAGAATTGGAGCATCCCCTGTCGTCTTGGACGCTCTCCCTACCTGTCCTGAGGGTGCCTCACCTATGCAGAGTATCACGGCTGACACTGTGGTAAGTCTGAAGGTGCTGGACTCCCTGCAGCTGTAACCTGTATGCTGCAGCACCTGGCATGTGGGGCAGAAGAACTGCCACCCAGAAACAGACCCATGATCAAGCTAGTCCAGTATCCTGTCTTGGACAGTGGCCAGTGCCAGTCCTTTCAGAGGAAGGTGCAAGCACCCCACAGTGCAAGTTTAAGGGATAAACTGCCCCAGGAAAGTTTCCTCCTGTCCCCTGTTAGCTATGGTCAGTCTATGCCCCAAAGATGAGGATCTGTCTGGCTCTGGGTTTGTGCAATGGTTAATCAACTCCGTTGTGTTAGAAGGGAACTGTAGAAACCCCACTGGGCATGGAGTTGTGTGTGACCTTCGTACAGGCTTTCTCCCCCTCAGGCCAGGGAGTGTAGCGTGGAACTGGGAAAGCTAAATTCTCCCTCTTCTTGCCCATTTGTTGTGTGCTGCTCAGAAAATCTGTGCTGGGTTTTATGAAGCTTTCTGGAGAGGGAAGAAGTCAGTAGGAGCAGCCTGGAATGGGGCTGGGCTGGTCTCCAGGTTGGGAGCAGACGCCAGGCTTGCCAGTCCCTGTTCCCACCCCAGGATCCTATGGCGTGCGAAAGGCGTGTCTCGGAACTGACAGCCAAGCACAAGCAGGAAAAGAGATCGGAGCTGCTGGGTCAGCTCCAAACTAGTATAGAGAGACCAATGCTGCTTTGCCTCCTGACAGCACTCTGGATGTTTGCCGGGCCAGTGACTGGCTTCCTGGGGAGGCTGCCAGGGCTGCCTGGGGGTGGGCAAGTGGGGCAATTTGCCCTGGGCCCTGCAGGGGCCCCCCTGAGAATGTCGGAGGCTCCCCACCTCCGCCTTCCCCTATGTCCCGGCGCCTCAGCGCACCGTGTCCAGGAGTGGCCCTGGACAGCGCTGCAGCGGCGGGACCTGAGCTCCTCTCGCTCAGAGCCGCGTGGTAAGGAGGCGGTGCTCCGGTGGGACCTGAGCTCGCAGCCGCGCCCCCTTACCACGTGGCTCTGAGCGGGAGGAGCTCAGGTCCCGCCGCTGCAGCTCTGTCCAGGGCCGCTCCTGGACGTGGCGCGCTGAGGCTCTAGGAGAGGTGGGAGTAAGCAGCATGGTAAGCCCCTCTGAGCCGGACACCTGACCCTCAGCTCCGAGCCCAGCCCCTCTGAGCTGGGCACCCCCTTACCCCATCCCTCCCCACAGCCCTAGCTACAAGCCCAGCCCCTCTGAGCCGGGCACCCCCCCCAACCCAGAGCCCAGCTCCCCACCCAGCCCTGGGCAACAGCAGTGCCACCCCCAGACAGCGACAGCCCACTGGCCCCAACCATCACCCAGTGACGGCCCATTATGTAATTGCAAATGTACTAAAGAATTTAATTTTTAAATTTATTTTGTGTATTTTCAAATTATTAAAAATTTTTGAATGTATTTCACTGGTTATTTTTTACACTTCCAAATACCTGTTACTATAGTATTGCAACTTTTTTTTTTATTGGAAGGGGTCTCCCGAAATTGCTTTGCCTCAGGCCCCCTGAATCCTCTGGGTTGCCCTGGAGGCCGCTGTGCTCTGAGGCTGCCTGGCTCCTGACAATGTCCCACAAAGCCAGCTGGCTGGTGCTGTGAGCACCCTGCTGCCCTTCCATGCTGGGGGAGAAGTTCCTTCAAGCTCTTCCTGAAAAGAGCCCAGCGCTGTCTGCTCTGTGGGTTTGCCCCAACTTCAGCCATCAACTGGCTGCACTAGGGCCAGTCCCTCATGTAGAGGGGCAAAGCCATTCTACACCAGCGGAGCCCAACTCCTGCATGGGAGGGAGAAAGAAGCTGCACTGGTGTGAATCTGTTTCTCTTGTCTTCACTGGGGCGGTTACTGGAATCAGCAGGAATCTCCAGTGCAGGCAAGGCCCGGCTGTCTCATCACCAGGAGAAGGTGGAGACTGTCCTCTCCAGATACTGACCAGGAGTTTGTGGGGAACAGGGCCGGCTTTAGGCTGATTCGCCCAATTCCCCGGAGTCGGGCCCCGCACCTAAGAGGGCCCCGCGCACTCACCCTGGTGGCGGTCGTCTTTGGGGGCCCCACTCCCCTGGCCAGAGCTCCAGCCGGACTGCGGCAGCCCCACAACCCCGGCCGGACCGCGGCAAGCCCTGCAGCCCCCTCTCCCCCCAGCCGGCAATCTGAAGTGCCACCCCAGGTATCGGGCCCCGCATTTGCTAAAGCCGGCCCTGGTGTGGAAGGATGGGATTGGTCCAGAATGAGCCCTGGAACTCGCTAGCATCATGCAACCTTCTCTTATCTCCCGCCTCCCACAAGCTGCGCTCGGACCAGCCACCCCCCAAAAGGGGCTAGACAAGGATAGCGAGGCAGTGGCTTGTCCATGGTGGGGAAGTGGGGTAGCTTTCACTTCTCCACTCTAGAGACTTTGGTGAGGTCACTTGTCTGGTTTGAGAGCCACCACCCTTGTGTTCCTGCCCCCTAGATGTAAATTGGATAGTTCTAATGCGAAAGCTGCTGTGGGACTGTTAGCCTCGGCTTCTGAGTGTCCCCGCCTTGGGGGGGCCAGTGCAGGATTCAGGGGTATTCACAGATCTGTGTGAGGGGCCTATGACTGGAGTAACAGGGGGCTGCAGGTCAGGATTGAGGGGCATCAGTAGAGCTGTGGGGGGACCCCAGTAATGTAGTAGCATCAGGGCTGTAGGCTGGGACTGGTGCATTGGGAGAACTCGGGAGGCAGGACTGGAATGTTGTGAATTGAAGTGCACTGATAGACCTAGAAGGGGGAAACATGCACAGCCGCCTGGCTCAGGCCTGTAATATCAGCCCCTCTTCTCAGGAGCTCTTGCAACCAAATGACATTAAACTGTGAGCCATCTAGCCGGCCTGGGGTGTGGCCTGAAGAGTGCTGGGAAAGGGGCCTGTCTGGGAAACGGGGGCGGGGATGCTTTGGCCCATGCAATTGGCTCCTGACTGCCTTGTTTTTCTCCTCCTAGTGTTACGAGACATCAGTGAGCGAGGCCGGGACCTTGAGCAAATCTTGTCTCAGTACATTACTTTCGTCAAACCAGCCTTTGAGGAATTCTGCTTGCCAGTGAGTGAGGAAAAACAACCACCCCGTGAGCCGTCTGGGAGCTCCTTGACTGGGAGCTCTCTTCTCGCTGGGGCCTGCCCTACCATGCAGCGACGTCACTTTCCTCAGGGCAGCGCCAGCCTGGACAGTGCATTCTCTCCCTGCAGGCACAGATGGCTGCATGGCAGGGCACGGTGTCTGTTGGTCTCAATGGTCACTTCCCTGTGGCTGGGGTTTCTGGCTAGATGCTGCTGCAGCAGCAGCAGGGAAAGTCCCTATTTGTGGGTGCAGCTTGTGCATAGTCCCAGTGGCTTACAGGCTGTCGTGGGTGTGCTGGGACACACTGATGTTCCCTTCCCTACCCCGGGACACAGTCAGTGCTCATGCCTTCTGGATGGCCCAAAAGGAGGGGCAGGGGACTGAGCTCTGTGCTGCAGGTCTTGGCCTGGGGTTCCCACTTCTGGCTGGCTACAAAGCCAATGAAGAGCTTGCTGGCTTCTAGCTGTGGATTCCTGGAATCAGAAGTGAAGTGAGTTCAGGTGCTGTCAGTGGAGGTGGAGATGGTTTTGGCTCCCAGGGAAGGCAGAGGGAGAGCAGGGGGCCTGGGAGGTGAACACAAGGAGCCCACGTTGCCAGTCTATGTGGTAGCACCTAGAGGGCTGGAACAAAGATCAAGGCCCCCTTGCACTAGGTACTGGCCATGTGCCTAGTAAGAGACTGACCCTGCACCATGGGCCAGGAAGGATTTTTATCCCCTTCTTGCACGTGGGGGAAGTGAGACACTGAGATGGAGTGATTTGCCCCAGGTCGCAGGTCAGTCAGTGGCAGAGGTGGGAATAGAACCCAGAACTCCTCACTCAGTCAAGTGCCTCAACTATTTGACCACCCTTCTCCTTAACTGTTTCTTTCCTATTCCCAGCACTGCACTTCCTTCCCCTCAAGCCAGGGAGGGAGCCTTGCTTTGCTCCAGAGAGAGAGCTGTGTTAGTGGGTCCTTTGGGGATGCAAAGCCTGGGTAAGGAGGCTCTGGGACAGACAAGGGTTGGACCCTCCTTTCCGGCTATCTGCTGTCATACAGTCATCATTGGCTTCTGGGAGACATGGAGTGGAACAGACCTGTCATGGGAGCCAAGTCTAGCGCCCTCCTTGATAGGGTCAGGGAAGGGTGTAGAGGCCCGTCAGGAAGGGTAGGTAGTCAGCTCCAGAAAGGAGGCAAGAAGATATATTCTAGCCACCTTGGCGCACTCCTCTCCTGATCATCGATCCCCAACAAAAGTGCCACTGCTGCCCTCATCTACTTCCAAAATCTGCTCATGGTCCTGCAGGGAGAGGAATGAGCAACAGAGATGGCAGCAACATCTCTTCTCCTCCTGCCCTGGTGAATCCTGCCTCTGACTGATCTGCACCCCCTGCTCCAAGCTCCTGGCTCAAGGGGCAGCTATTCTACTTGCATGCAGTGCAGAACAGGCAACCTGGTGTAAGCACTGGTGATCCTGGTGCTGATCTCCTAACAAGCTCCGGGTCAGACGGGCTGGGAGGGAATCCCCATGACTGGAATCTGACAGATCCATAGCTATGCAGTGTTCTTGTAGCCATGTCAGTCCCACGATCATAGAGAGACAAGATGGGGGAGGTAATGTCTTTTATTGGACCATCTTATGTTGATATGAGAAACTTTTGAGCCACACAGAGCTCTTTGGGTGTGGGACAGGTAGGCAGAGTGTCACAACTAAATATCAGAGGGAACAGGTAGGTTAGCTTAAGTAGTTAGTGTACATTATCTGTTTGATCTTGTATGCAGCTGTTACGCTCAGAGTACTTTTCCCAGACCCGAAGAACTCTGTGTAGCTTGAAAACTTGTCTCCCTCACTAGCAGAAGTTGGTCCAATAAACAAT